ACACTCAGATTTATCTATAAAGCTGGACTGTGAGGAGCTGAAGATTAATATACCAGGTGGCTAACTACAAAATAATTTGAAATGTCACTTTAACTGAATTATGACATTTAGGGCTGGAGCACAAACCAGGCAGTGTTTGAATTACACAGGGGGAAACAGAGAGTGTGTCTCTCTTTCAATGGCTGTCCCATCACTTCCCAGACAGCATTCGGATGTGGGCCAGTTTAGGCAATTGTAAAATAGCAAATGTTGCCCAAATATCCCACACCAAATGTACTGTAGGCCTTTTTCTGTAGAACACGCAGTGCTCTAGGCAAAGTGTAATCTGGATGTGAAAGTGGCCCATGTGGTAAATGGTGAATATGGTCCAAATAGCACAAAACAAACCGGAGCCACCTTTGGCACCTTTGGTTGGCATGCAGTATTGCTGTGGCTTACTTGTGTCTAGCAAACACTAAAACTAGACAAACTAAAAAAATTACTTATTTAGTGTAGTTCATATTGAGGCAATTTCATGTTTTAATATTTTCTTAACATATGAACAGCTCACATTTAATCAGATTTCCTTTTGTCTTGACCAACATTGAAATCCATCATGTAAACCCTAGTGTATCATCAATGTATGTACAGTGCTCAGAGCAAATTCTGGCTTCTGTGTTTTTGTTTTGTTTTTTCCTTCATCGACTGAATTATTTATAAATGACTGCCACACGGGATGTAATTACTGTGGGGCCATCTGGGACTCACAAGCCAGATCTTATCAATTTCTTATCAAAACGTGACGTGTGAGCTGAGGGGGGGAAAGAGAAGAATAGGATAACCATCGTTCCCCACTCCACCTCCACCTGTACTGCACATCCATCCTTTTAAACAGCCTCATACCTGGTTTCTTATTGCTTTCTTTCTCTATTACCTTTTTTTGAATTAACCTATAATAAATAAAGCTGATTCTTTTTGATATTTCTCTTCTGAGGTAGCTGATGAATGCCTCTGTCAGATATGAGGAGCTGGCGGGCTAAAACAAGGCCGTGATGACGACTTGCTCCATTTAATGTTGTAAAATGATGAATTTGAACAAACCACAGACATGAGGGTGCTGCTCTGTCCTGATACCGATCCCATCAGCCTCATCTGCCTCCTCATTACGCATATTCCCCTCCTCCTTTTTCCCATGTACCACTTTTCTCCTACATGTAGCCTACGTTACTTTAAATACAATCAAAAGTATTTTCCAAAATGTCCAACGATAGACATTGTTAGGGTTAAACAAGACTGAAGAGTTTATTTTGTGTCTGATGCTGTAGCTGTTTGATTGAAACATTCAAACCCAACACTGAAACTGCAGCAACAGGTTTAGCTCCTTGTTACAGAGCGACGTCACCGCACTGACTACGTTTTTATTTGCATCACAAAGCAAGAGGGCAAGCACACAAACAAAATAGAAACACTACAAAGACCTAAAAATAGAAACAACAGACGGACTTCAATGGCCTCGCAGCCGCTCATCAGGAGCGGCTCCTGTTGTGACTCATAAGTGTTAGCTTTGTGTCTTGATGACGCGGGCGGATGCGTGGGTGACACTAGAGGGAGGGTGGGTGGATGGATGGGTGGGAGTTAGCCGCAGATGCAACGCTTGTGTTCTCAAAGACCTTTGTCATCAACTGCCGGTCGTTGCTACGATACGACATGCGAGATGACACTGGAAGTGAACACGCAGAAGCTGTTACACATTTCACACATTCCGGGAAACCTATGTTTTATTTCACAACACAACTGAAATGTCTCACCCACATCGAGTTGGTCTGAGGTCAAACTAAGGTTGTGATCACTTGACATATTCCATATCTGCAAAGGCCAAATGAATGTCTAGTTCTTATAGAAATATCGAAGAAAAAAGGAAATGGCCTGATCACATAAATTATTCATTTGTCATAAAACACTGTCCTCAATAGTAGACATTTAATCCAATGTATGTGCTGTGCATGAAGCATCTGAACTTATCCATGTTGTATATTCAAAAATGTCTGTACCTATAAAATGTCATTGTCAAAAAAATGTTGATGGGTGTGATCTTTCACAATAGCCGATGACTACAAGACTGCTTGATATACAATATGTCTACTCACATATTCTAGCATTACTGACAATAACTCCTCAATGCATGTGTCATTGCTGCTCCCTTCATCTCTAACAGACATTTTCTTATGTATAAATACTTGTTATAAACTTTTTTTTCTAATCAATGTTGTAAATACTGTTGTTATTTATTCGATTTTTGATTTGATTTGATTTGTTCAGTTGATACTAATCAATTTCACCAATATTGTCTCGATGCTTGATGCCGACTTTGCTTACATTTCATTTCAGGTCTGAGTCAGAACCAAAATGAGCACTTTCACTAAATGATGACGACGCAGCCATGAAACTTAGTCACTTACTTTTGTTTTGAATCAGGAATGATCATTTTGAGATATGAATAATGAATGAAATCATTACCTGTCCCTCCCCGAAGGCTGCAACTGTGCCGGTAAATAAAACCTAATGCAACATGTTTTCTGCAACACCTGCTCGATGAGAGCGATCATATCCGTCTTCTCTTGATTTTGCTTCAGCTCATCAGCCTCTCCCCGCTGCGGCAGTACTTGAATTAATCAAAACCAGAAACCCTGACAATGTTTCTGACCATGAGTCAAGCTCCATCCATCCATCCAGTTGGCCCAAGACGATTCTCGCTCCACGACAAGAAACCGAAATTCTTTTAATCATGTTTTTCATGTAACAAATGGGCTTGAAACCCGACATGGGAAAACATCTGGGACATTAGGGGGAAGTTTCTGTTTCCGAACACAAGCCTCCATATGAAGAGCTCTCAGCCACGTAAAGAGACAGTGATGAAAGGCTCTGAGGTTCAGGGAGATGGAGGAGTCACACCAACCGGTCAGGATGACAGATCACCTACTTCTTGGCGTGTTTGCTGCTTCGCTGACACTTATCACACTGAGGGAGTCTGACTGGGGCTTGGTGCCCAACATGGGGGGATTGGAGTCGGCTAAACGACGTAGGCATTGCTCAAGTGACACATCCAGATAGTCATAGTCTTAAACCAACATGTCCCCAGTCTAGTCCAAGTCCTAAACTAGTCACGTCACCAAACGTGATCTAATTTAATAGAATGTGTAATAGTGGAACTGGAGTACAGTAATTTTAAAATGCTGTAAATTAATGTCTGTTACATTTTAAGCTAAGTTATTGAACGTAGCGGAGCATAATAATGGCTCCTGTTCCTCAGTGGTCCGAGGGGGTGAAAGTCAGGGGCTAAAAAATTATGAAAATTCACAAACTGGCTCGAGACACAACAACATCTATAACTGCTGGATGTCTAGGAGAGCCACTCAAGTTCGACTTAAAATGTGATGTTAGCGGCCCCTGGTGGCCAAACATATCTGTTCTTATAGGTTCAGCATTTCACCAACACCATCATTACATTTAGATTTATAAAATCTTTAAACACTTTGACTTAATGACCAAATAACTTAAAAAACAGTGACATTCTCTTAAGTCTCAGCTGCTAACACCGTGAATACAGTAAACATTAAAAATCAGCATTTTACTGTTGGCATTCTCAGCATGCTAATGTTAGCATTTGATACTAAATTGCAAATGTTGCTTAAAATTTGTAACACTATTGTTTTTGTATATAGATCACCACAAAGGCACTTTCAATTTGATGCCTTTAGTAAGTTAAAGTTTTTGGGATTCTGTCATCACATCACTCCAGTCTGAATGCATACAACCTGATTTTAATTTAATGTTACTTATTTTACTGAGACACAGAATTTTATTTCGCAGTCAACAGCCCGGTTCTGAGAAACCTGTTAACTGCTGCAGGGAACGTCCAGCAACTGTTGATTGAAACGTGTATTAACCTGCTTTGAGATTCTTTTTTTAGTCTCATAGTAATGAAAACGTGTCAATGTCACTTTGAACTAAGTAACTGTATTTATAGTTTTAACAGAGCCTCATTTGACACTGAGCCCTATTAACTGAGCTCTCCACAGACGTCTCCCTGTATCTAAAATAGGCAGGAAGTCCATCACGGGGGTGAAGAGGGACAAAGTAGGCCAAGGACTCTCACAGAAAATAGACAGTGACTCACTGAGGGGCCACGTCGTCTTGGGAAAGAAAAGGAAATGACAGAGTTTTAACAGTAATGTAGAAATTAGGATTGTGATGTGAGGAGGCCTGTTATTCCAGGCTCATAATGGCTGGATGCTGGATGTTAGCTATAGTTGCAGCACGTGGCTGAGCAGTTACTCCAGTACTGTAAGTACAATGTTGAGCTGTCAATCAATGATCTGTATATTCTCCTTTTATTGCACTTTAATCTTAATTTCCCTTAAACAAATCCCTGTTATTAGTTACTTTAATGATATTAGATGTAGAGAATGTGATCATGTAGAAAGGTAATAAAGTAATAAAACGAGATAAAAGTAATCACATTATAGATAAACTGTGTTACAAGAAGGATTCAAAACTGTACGGATCTAGAGTACAAATGATTATCAATAACATGTCACGTAAACGAACTTGATATTTTATTATTTGATTAGTGATTTACTAGTGATTGCTGAAGCATGTGTTGAACTATATTAAGAGAATTTAATCTCCTCCGGATCATACAATTTTTTTATGCTAAATATTCTGAAAAACAACAAGTTACTGTAGTTGTTTGATGAATGTAGTAAAGTAAAAAGTACAATATATGTATCTGAAACTGCAATATTAAGTGGCATGAAATTGAAATATTAAATAAACACAAATCTTAATATGACAGTGTATTCCATGTGTGTGATAGATGTTGTAGTTGAGAGGAATTAAAGGTGCTCAGTATTTCTTATGGCAAAATTAAATAGTTTAAACAAAGCCCAAGGTTTGTTTGCCTGCACTGCCCCACACTGGATATAAGTCTTACTGCATGCTGATCAGGAAAGCAACAGTCATAGTTTCAAAACCTCAGCTGATCTTTATTTACAAGTCCATACATGATAATAAAAAAATGAACATACAGGTGGTGGGCTCAACCCTACAGAGGTAAGATGGTGACAAATGCTCAAAGCAGCACACAGAAACAGTCAAATTCTCTTTAACTCAATTTTCCCTTCAGTTTTCTTTCTGAAATACTGAACAGGTAGTGTTTGTTGGGCAACTCTCACTTTGATGAGGAAATGAACTATTGAGAAAATTGTTGAGGGTCAATTCCAGCAAGTCAAACCTTCACGGCATACAATGACACACAGATGGGCACCTTCTTGTTCAATGCAAACACATACATAAGTAATAGCTTTTCACACTGCAAAACTGAACTATACGATTCTCAGTCTCGTAGGAATACACACGACAAACGAAACGTAGGAGTGACATGGGTTGAAGTAAATCTGACAAAACAGCAAGTCATTTTTTTTTGTGAGTGTTAATTTTTAACAATAAACAAACACTCGCAGCTGATTCTTAACAAAGTCGTTCATTGTTTGGATGAAGACGTGGAACTTGTTGAGGTTGGAGGACACATTCAGGAAAAAAGAAAAAGAGGGCAGGCGTTGAAGGGTGGGCTGATTAAAACAAACCCTTGGCACTTGGAGCTAATAAAGGAATAAAACCAGGCATTGGAACAGGCAATAGATCTGTGGTAAGGCGTCAACAACAATAGTCATTGTGACACACACACTCACACACACACACAAACACACTGATGTGAAAGCTTTGTAAAGCTGCTTTCACACATGCACTGAAATCCGGACATTTTCCTGACACTTTTGCGAGGGGGCTGCAGGTGAGAACACGTCGTCAAAGACAGTTGTTCCGGACTTTTTCTGGAACTTTTTCCTGCCAGCCCCCCAGTAAAATGTCCGAGTGAGAGTGACACAAAAGATTTAACAATAGAATTATCTTATGATGAAAATTAGGTGACATACAAGTTGGACAGACAATGAGATTCGAGAACATCTGACCCACACAATCTCCTGCTGCGTTCTTCATTTGTGAAAGGCAAAGTCTGAAAAGGTCCGGGCACAATTCCCCAGACATTTCACAGAGTTCATTCTGAAAACTGCTTATGGGCACAGTCACATATACGCTAAAGCAGAGAGAATATCATGGGTCACCAAATTTGAACCCCACACGAAGCCACACTGCTGATTTACTTCGCCGTGGAAGCAAATGTTTTATCCGTTCCCTCACTCGCACAGGTCGGTGCAGACTGGGAGTGAACGGGAGGCGAAGGTTCGTCACTACTACATTCGTGTATGTGTGATTGCACCTTTACACATAGCTCAGTTGTCTCTGCTCAAACTAAAACCACCTCTCTGATGTCACGTGAGAAACATCATAAAAGTGGTCTCATCTACAAATTAGCTTGTTTTAAACACAAGAGGAAGTTACTATATAAAAGACCTGCTGATGCTTGTATTGTTGCCTTTACTGGAAATACAAAAAAGATGCAAACACAGGAGGGTGCACCGTTAAATCACACACATCCATTGATTTATACACAACAGAGTTCACACCTCAAACTATATCTTCTATGTATTTTAGTTTGGGATTAAAATAAATAAAAAATCAGTGCCCCGTAGTTTGAGTGTCACTCTATATGCTATTCACACAAAAGCAGACAGGCATAAGAGGTGCAGTGGAACAAGCAACGCACATGATGCTGTGCACATTTGGAAACTCAGCAAAGATACATATATATATATATAACTTATTTTTCCTCACACACGCGGTCAATAAGATACACTAAATCTCTGCATGTGCATGAGACTGGTTTCATCTGGAAAAATATGTTCAAGTATGTAAGAGGACTTCTGTACACAACTGAAAAACAAAGATTTTTGCATCTTTCAGTGCATCCTTCAGCGCCTTCTTATGACACAACCCCCCATATTACTGGACAGCACTGGCATCGAGTCGTTGTTGAAAATAAGCTTTTTTTTTGCCGTATGCGATGCAGTACTGAAATAGATTATTGTTATAAAGAGCGGACTGTTCCCCCTTGTACTGTGAAGTTCACATTTGGCTGTGAATGTCTGGGACAAAGTGTTTTTGTCTTATCTCTGGTGGACAGCTATTGCCTTGGGTTTGAGGAGCAAGGTCGTGGATCCATGGGTACATACTCCACAGGCAAGGGCCTAAAATTAATGAGGGAGAGGAGAAAAAAAAAAAAAGTAGAACGACAACTAAGAACCCACAAGTGAGCTTCAACAGTTTGGCACTGAAAACAGCAACCGTCAGTTACAAAGGTTTTATTAGAAAAGATATTTAAAAACGACTCAAAAGAAATTAAAAAACTCAACAATCCTGTCCTGACTTACATTAAACAGCAGGATCGGGTGGCGATGACAAACACGCAATCGAGCTACTTCCGATTCACAGCAGCTGAATCTTCGTCCTTCAAGACAAACTTTTTCCTCAAAGCCTCTGAAATCAGACTTGCAGAGTCCTCCTCTCTCAGGGACGTGCAGCCTCTGTTGTACCTGTCATGACAAGCGACAGAAAATACAAGCCGACTTAAGAACTGTTGAGCATCAACAAAATGCTTTCACGATGATGAATAATAAGACAGTTAGATGTGAGAGTGTAAAATATAATTTTAATGTGACATTTAGGGAAATATTCCAATTAGTTTTCTTGCAACTTTTGTATTTGTCTGTTAATATGAAGCTGCAGCAGTTGGGCTCAGTGGCAACACTTACCTGTCTTTGCTCATCTTCATGCGGTTCATGTCCTTCAGAATGTCCATCACGTCGGCAAAGCTGGTGGACTTTGACAGTGACACTGTGTCCTCTTCAGCCTCCCGGAAGTCCATGCTTGGCCTGTCCAGGTCAAAGGTTGCTGATGCCGTCATGGAAACAGGTGGCAGAGGGTCAGGGACCAGCTCTGACACCACAGAGACCACATCTTTTTCATCTTCCTCCTCCTCCTCTTCTTCCTCCTCCTCCGTGACGTCACTGATGACAAAGGAGGCAGCAGCAGTGGCAGCCGGCTGGTAGGATGCCGCCTCGAAAGGCGCCATGGAGAAGCTCATACTCGTGTCGTCGGGGGAGAGCAGATCGGGAGTCAGGGGGTTGGAGCCTGAAATAAATCAGCAAAGCAGAGGAGGGAAATAAGTGGATCTGTAATTATTACATTGAGTTGGGATGGGACAGCGTTACGAGAAACTTAACTATCTAAAATGATAATTTCTTATGTCAATTCAAAGCAAGAGTATAGGCATGCTACTGTTTGGAGTACCTCCTACTCAAATAACATGATACCTACTCATTGCATCCCTGTGAATAACAGCCTCCACAGAACGAAAGATTACCTTAAGTCACTGACCTACAAACAGATGCCAAGGCATCTTAGTACCAAAGAGCTTAAGGAGAATCAAGGCAGCTGACTTGGCAACAAAAGAATCACACCGCCATTAAGTCAATAACTCGGTAAAACACACTCACCTAACCAGACTAAAGCAATCTGAAATCTGCATTACTCAAAGCAGCTTTAGAAGTAGGGAGAGTGTTAAGTTAGATAACTTACCAGAATCACTTGACACAATCTTGGCAATCTGTGCTCGGAGTCTGCTGAGCTCGTCCTGCAGAGCTGTTGTTCGATTTAGCGCCGTGACCCCGGGCTTCTTCAGTCCCTCCATCCTTTTGCCCTCACGGCGGAAGTTGGGCACAGATGAGTTCCTGTGGAGCACCAGCAGGGGCGTGGGCCGCCATTCATGCTTTAGAGGACGTGAGTCGCTCCTGGAACAGAAGGTTGGTGTCATTGAGCTGAATCAAAATAAATAAGTTCAGCATTTATTTTGTGCTGCATCTCCTCTGATGCTTCTAATTTTTAACCTGCTGCCCAGAAACAGCCCCAGCACTCACTTTAATTGGTCTGTTTGTAAAGTCTGATGCAATCAAACATATCAGGGCTACAATAACTCCTGCAAATACGCACCTGATAGTCAGAAAAGGCTGGGATATTGCAGGTAGGGAGAAGTGAATTGGTGCTACAACAAGGTGTAGTGATTAACTATTTACACACCGTACTCGAGCATATGTCTCCTCTTCATCTGCAACAATCCAGGCAATGTCTGCCAAGGTAGGAACCATAGGGCCATCCATAGGCCGAAGAGAGGGTAGGCCTGGTAGTTCCTATTGCACAAAAACACAAGTTAATATACATGTCAAGATGTTTTTGGCAGTTTTATTGCCAGATGAAATGGGTCACATTGGATCTGATGTGTACCTGGAAACATGCTCTTTGTGGAGGTTTGAGTGGGAGAGTAGAACCTATTCTTCTCACAACACTACGGGTGGATCCATGGGGCTTATTCTGCCAGATAGGAATTACTTCCTGTGAAACAAAACACTGTTACTACATATGATGAAAGAGTATAATTCATATCAATACTTACTTTAAATTGAATAATCGTGTAGGGGGAAAGTTTTTAATTTAAACAGTAGGAAATAAACGTACTGTTTCTGTGTCCATGGTGATGGGGGGGTCAGTCTGACTCGCTGGGAAGTTGCACACCAATGTTTGGTGCTACCTGTGGCTTAAGATCGACCAGTTCAGCAAACAGATGTCATGTCTGTCTCTGCCAACTATTGGGATGTAAATTAGTGATGAGTTAGAGTATCTGTTGAAAGAAATGAGCAGCAACAACTTAAAAACTGTTAAAGTAGTTGATTGAATGCCAGAAGATAAGTGAATCATTTAAAAAAACGGACTAGTTTAGCTTCTAGTGTGAATCATTTCCTTGATTAAAATGCATACAGTCAGTACGGCCTCTGAATTTGTAAAATGCTGTGTCATTAGAGAACATATACATTTTCTTTGTATGATTGGATAGGGCTGGACATTGGGCAATTAAACATCAAATATCGATAATTGACTTTGACTGGTCAATAATATCAAAGTTCAATACATAACATAATAGATATATATTGTTTATGTATGATATCGACTAACATGAACATTTTTATCTCAATACATTTTTGGACATATTGACCAGCCTTGTTATACTGTAGATAGATATTTGAGATATTGGCACAATTTACATAATCTAACAAATATAACTTTATTAAAGGTAATCCAATCTAGATCAAGCTCTTTCATTAGCTAGAGACCATGCATACAATAAACCAGAGGTAGCAGAAGTATCCACCACTACAAAGAAATATAAAATTCAAATATTCAAGTTAAAGGGACAGTGTGTAAGATTTAGGTGACAGGGATCTATTAGCAGATATTTAATGTAGAATAATCCTCATGATGTTTTCACTAGTTCATTTAATCTAAATTGTATGAATTGTAGTTTTCTTTACCTCAGAAAAGGCCCTTTATATTTAAATACTTTATATTTACATCGAGGGGGTCCTCACTACGGAGGCCATTACATTAGTCCTGGACAAACTAAACACCTTTTGAGTTTTTATGACAATTAAAGTCTACCACAGGTTCTTGTTCATGTTTGGAAGGAGAGGGTGAGGTGAGGGGTGTTCAGCTGCAACATGACATTTCAACACTAGATAGTTCAATCACCTGAACCTTACATTTAGTACTTGAGTAATGAGTATTCCCCATCCATAACAAAAATATCTCCAGCAATAAGATACAAAATGTGATTATCTTAACATAACTGTTGATAAACTAAAGCCAACAGAGTAACTTTAACTTCATGATCACCCTCTCACTGTGAGTAGTTAAACATAAACGCAATCATCAAGGCTAACACAGCTAACACGCTACATTTAGTATAGGACACCCGCTATGCTAACTGCACAGCAGCCGACATTATCGTCTATACGAGAAGATAAGAGAAGCCAGAAATGAGGAAGAAAAGCTTTTAGAGATGTGGTTTGAGATCCGTTGTTCTCTCCTCCATCTTTAGCCGGTTGCTCCGGGCATCGCACAAACACAGTCAGTTAGCTTTAGCAGCGGCCCCCGGTGTGACCCTCAGCCGTAGAGCGACACGTTCCTCTCTTCTTCGCTTATATTCACGAAGTGCCATTTAAAAAACACACAGGGGTGCAACTTACGGTAACTAACAGATGGACGTGTGGAAGCTGCGGCGGTGAACAGTTGGTGAATCTCCGCTTCTCCTCTTCGTCTTTCAGTCTGCTGCTGCTGTTTTCCTTCATCAGGCCGGAAACTGTGCCTCGCTCCCCCTGCGATCGGATTGGCTGGAGCCCCATGACCTCACTTTATCAGAACCGACCATTGAGCGCCCCCTAGAGGTGGAGGTAAGCGGTCAAGTTTATTTATAAAGCATTTGGTCTCATAACAGAAACATGTTTTTATATTTCACAAACACATCTACGAAAGAATTGTCACTTTATTTAGATTCGTTGACACTGACAAAAACCCAAACGACCCCATCTATTACTTATGAAGTGTAAATCGGCTGTAATTGATTAATTCATCTTTGGTAACGAGTTCACAGTGGATCAGTTATCATCCAGTAACAGGAAATCTTCTGTCCCCTTACACATATTGAATATGTTTGTATTTGCACCCTGTTTACAATTGAGCAAATAGTTGCTGTTAACGTGAGAGCACTCAATCTTTTGCCCAAGACTTTTAATAACTGCCAGTAGAGAAACTCCTTTGTGTGTGTGTGTTTTTTTAATTCTTTTAAATCAGATTAACTCAGGCACTTGATTGCACTGTATGATTATTGCACTTGTCTATAAAACTGCTGCTTTTTTGAATTGTCTTTTAACTGTGTGTTTGTGCAGGTCCTCAGAAACACAATCCTGTGCCTTTGTATGTTACAGATATGGCTGGAGTGAAATAAAGAAACTTGTGACTTGAAAACATGAAACTTTTAGAGTGTGGAACCTCAAGTATGATTTGCAAATGTTCATAACTATATTATTGTTAAATAGAAACACAGCCATGCTCTTACCAGACCATTATATGTTAACAGAACATACTGGTGTAAGAGAGTCTTACATTGAAACATATAACAAATAAAGGATGAAACAATTGATATAAAGAAAATTCACATCCACCTTCAAAAAACAATTCAAAACCCATTTCAGAACTTCTTTTAATGTCTGATTAGAATGTAAGTCTGTATCTCCATATATATTTATAGATATCACTTCAAGTATCTTTGTATATTGAATGAAATATAGCTTTATTATTATTATTATCATTTATGTATGTGAGCCAAACAGCTCCATATATTTCTTTATCATAAAAAATATAAAAATACATAAGTAACTCAGAAATAATAAATAAACAGTAGACAATTTGCCATGAAATACTGTTTTTATGAAATCTTGCATGATGGAGTTGTCATGTCATTCACCAGTCTGCACGAATACAGCACAAAGATGGTTGTGCAAGAGAACAAGATGGTTCCCTCCCATCTACTTCCGCCTTTACTAAACGTCTCTCGTCCAATCCCTCGCCCGGGCAGGACGCATCTTGACAGTCGGTGCGTCAGGTCCCTCGGGCTCAGGGCTGGTGTCTGCAGTGATATCATAACACTGCAACATGAAGACACGCTCCTCTGACCGACAGACATCTCCATCGCAGGTCAGTGAAGAGTCACAGCTCCGTGTGTCTGCTCCTCTCACCTCTTCATCTCTGCTCAGCTGCTGATCGCATGTGGGGGGTTTTTCTCTTCCTGCCATAGCCGCTATCTCCATTATTATTCTGTAATGTCGTCTGAAATGCACACTTCGTCCACGCAGATGCACTGACCCGCTGCATTTACAGGAAGCCGAGTGTTGTCGTTTTATTGGAATGGAGCGATGCGTGACTGAGTGGTGTGAGGAGCTGTTGCAGGGTGCAGGGCAAAGCTAAGCTAGTCCCGTTGTTGCTGTTCATTCAAAGATGAGCTGAGGTGCAGCAGTGAGGCTCCATGAACCTGATACATTCCTGTGTCATGATGTGAGCAAAGGCTGAGGTCATTACATTCTAAAACTCATTCAAACCGTCTCATCCATCACATCATATATTACAAATTAGAAACTACTCAAATTTGCAGTTTGATCTACAATAAACTATTCACATGGGTAGTTTGCTCTGCTAATGTGAAACTTCTCAAATTTGTAGTTTGTTCCTCAAATTAGAAACTACCCAAATTTGTAGTTTCCTCTGCAATTATGAAACTGCTCAAATTTGTAATGTGGTCTCTAGATAAGAAAATTCCCAAATTTATAGTTTGGTACTACAGTTATGAAAGTACTTAAGTCTGTAGTTTAGTCTACAAATATAAATCTGTTCAAATTTGCGGTTTGATCTACAATAATTTACTAAAATGTGCAGCTTGCAATTGAAAATTGTTATTATTGTTATTATTGTAAAAACGATAATGAGCACTGATTGACAGTTTTATTGAATTTTAGAAAGCCGGCTCCATTATCCTGCTAAGTGTCTCGATCACTTCCTCATGGGGTCATGTTGCTGCAGGTACCATAGAGCTTTTACCCCCCCTTCCTTCTCCTTCCCTCAATCCCTCCCTCCTCCTGCCCAGCTGATGTTTGTAAAAATCCGCCCTGTGTAGGTGCTGTAAACTGGGCCAGGAGGCAGGCATGGGGAATAAAAGGAGGAGGAAGGATGCCAGCTGAGCCCCCTCGTCCTCTCTGCATCTGCCACTAAGTCTGCCAGCTTCACACTAAAGAACGGAGAGGAAAATGGCTCAGTCTGTGAGGAGGCCTGAGATTTTAGGATCCACCGACAACGAGCCCAAGAGGGACAAGAGCAGGAGCAGCTACTTCGGCAACGTCAAGAGCAGGTCAGTGCCTCTATAAATACCAAACACGGATTACTGGAAAGAAAACAGAGAAAGCTCCAAGCAGACATGTGACAAGTCTGGCTTCTCAGATTTTAGTAAGCCATTATTCATTCTTTTATTAGAGGGGGACAAGGTTCTTTGCAATTGACTACAAAACAAATATGAAGGCTTTTTTTAGCACAAAATACATATTGGTCATCAGCTGGTTTCCTCCACTGTCGCTGAAAGACGCCAGGCTCCATCACAGAGCCTCATGTGGGTGAAAGGTGCCGCATCTCGTCAGGAACACACAGCCATCGCACAAACAACTCCCACTCCTCTATAAATAACTCTGATCAGACTGTGAACGTTGCTCTGTACAGTTGTTCATAGCCCAAACATTAAATCCTTGAATCAAAAGGAAAACAATTCATATTGGAGCATGGAAGATCTATCTTGATCTGAAGGAGGTATGTCTGTGCAGAAATACTCTATAAACAACTATGTTCCCTAACCTCCTTAGCGGAGGTTTCTTTATAGACACCGAATAAAGGCATAAATCCATTGACACAATTTCCAGGTGATTTGTGTAAATATGACGTTTTATGATTTACAGCTGAAAAGTCAAAGTCAAACAAATGTTCTTTGATTCAGTCAATAATCCAGCATTTGTGAAAAAGTCACTTTATGACATTATTACTGGGAGTAAGGCTTGCCCCTGACAACTGCTGTAATTTTCAGTATTTTCATTCTTTTAAAATGATCAAATCATCACATGAAATGTGTCACTCATAGGTATAAACCTCAAGAGAATCTTCAGCGAACTTTCCTTCGGCTCTGCAGAGAGTTTTAACATCTTTCAAAACTGTTATTCTCAGCTAGCTGGGCGACAGGAGATAGAGAGGGTGGTCCACTAACCAGAAGCTGGGTGGTTCGATCCCCTGCATCTGTAGTCTGCATTCTAAAGTGTCCTGGGGTGTTTAAGAAAGTTCTGCATACAGAAGTGCTGTATGGGTGAATGTGCTTTAAGTGGTCGATAAAGATTGTGTAAATTCAGTCCATGTACTGTATTGTCACTCACCAGGAGTGTGTACTTATGACATGCTATGAACCAGGCTTGTCTTCATCTTTCAGGCTGGGTTCCAAGCTTCCTCCTGGCGTCTCTCAGCCCCCGCAGTTCGCTAAGCGGCCCTGGGAGAACCAGCCTCAGGCCCGAGTCATGCAGGAAGCCATAGCCAGCGGCCAGCGGCTGCACCAGCCCATCGTCGGCAGGCCTCTCAACCACATCCCCCATATCAGAAACCCCAAGCTGCGGCAGTATTACCTGCAAGGTATCCTGGAACTGTTGGATATACATCTCCAGGCAGGGCCCAGGCTGAATGCATCAAACAGAGGGAAAGTAGCTGTGGCATCATCTTGAATTCACATCTGATGAGCCTGTTGGCAGTTATTTTCATGCAGCTGGCAGTCACATGAGCTGTGGAGGCTTCTATTAATCCTGTTAGCAAGTGACGGTATTATGTTTTTGAGTTGTTTATCCCTTCGTATTTACATACATCCGTCTGTCCCCTTCAAGAATTGGCAATTGAGCCTTGAGTAAGTTTCTTTAAATTTGGTACAGTTTTTATCTTGGACTCACAGATTAACTGAATAGATTTTGGTAGTCAAAGGCCACGGTCACTGTGACCTCACAAATCCCATTTTGGGTCTTGTGAACGCAGCATCTCAAGAACACCTGGAGGGAATTTCATGACATCTGGCGCAAACATTCACTTGCACTCAAGGATGACGTCACAAAACCATTTTTTGGCTCATGAATGACGGACTCACAGATTAACTGATTAGATTCGGGTGGCCAGTGGTTAAGAGTCAAGGTCACAGGGCTTCACAAAACATGTCTTTGGCCTCTTAAACTTGAACATGATGAAATTTTGTTTTGTGAAATCCTGAACCACATATGAAGGACCGCCCACCCAGCTGACGTCCTCAGACATGCCACAGTTACATAATGAATGTACTTTTACTCTTCTCAGTGTCAATACGTTGAGTTTACGTTTGAGGCGAACATATCAATTGATCATAATGATTATTACTTTTTTTTAAATTGGTAGAATTCATCAAGATTCATTCAGCCCCTCCTGACTCCTCACTGAGCTGTAGAGGCTTCTTTTATTCCTGTTAGCAAGTGATGCCGAGCCTTTTCATAGGGTGATGCCCTGTGGATGTTTTGTCAAAAGGTACGACAGAAATAGTCTTATTTTAATTTACAGGGACCTCATGGGATCTGAACAATCCTGCAGGGAAGCAACAACATATGGCCGAACTGTCAGATGACAGCAGGAGCAGAAGGGTGAGTCACATGCGTTTTGTTTTTTTGACTGGATTTGACTTCAGCTGTGGGAACCTGCAGGGAGAGGATTGGAGAAGTGGTAGATAACAGCTTCATCGCTGCACGTATATATCTGTCAGCTGATTAGTTATAGCAGAGCAACGCTGGTTTGGTTTTACAGTTTATGGTCTGGATAGGGAGATTGATAAAGAGCGTCCAAGGTTCAGAGCTGCGAGTCAGAGCTGTTACAGCTGTTCTGTGGCACCATGGGGAAGCAGGGGCTATTGCAGAGCCTCTTCCACAAATACAGCCGCAGGAATCTGCATTCAGATGTTAACTCAAAGGTATTTGTCAGCTTTTTGATTTTGCCGTCGAGCTGTTAATTATACATTGATTATAAAATGAAGAAGCAAGTGTTGTTTAGTGTTGTATTATCATCAATCTGGAAAGTGCGATAGTGATTATTACCACGTGCTCTATTTGGATTTGTCATTGTTATTATTATTATTATACATATTATTATGCCTCTTCTGTTCTTTTTCTTTTCTTTATTTCTCTTCTTCCTTCACGTCATTTGTTTCTTTTGAAAAAGTGGCTTTAATCGGTTTGTACACTTCATCCAGATTTTGAAGACAGACGTTAAATCATGTTAAATCTTGCTTTTACCCAATAATCATATTCTACATAACTTCAGGTGTAAACCAAGTTATTTTAATCCAAACCACAGACTGTAGACACCCCTTTCTCCTAATTTCTAAATAAGTGGATCTCTTAAATTATTGTTTACAATAAGTGACCAGTTTATTAGATGCACAAGTTTTAATTTTAATTCAATGCTCATGCAGTTTGGGCTGTATATTGTTGCTGCTGTTGAATGATATTGTGTTATAATGAGAGGTGTTTATTAAAATCTAATGGTAGTTAAGTATCTCTCAGAAATAGGTTGAGATTCAAAGAAGATTTTCTTCTGCACATGAACCTTTTTTCATATTTTTTTCAATAGATGTTTATCCAAAAATACAGTTTATCTGTTAAAGCACACAATTGTGCCCACACAAACACACATAGATCCAAAGACACATCTACATGCTTACACCCACACTAAAAGCACACAATTTATTCAGTGGTCACACAATGTATCAGGCGCCTGGAGTCTAATTTAGGTCAATGGATCCATCTGTCAGCAAACAACAGTTGCGGAGCTGATCCTTCACTTCAGCTATTTCAAATATTCAGCTCGACGATGATGCTGCCAAACAATAGTATATCTTATTCACTGGTGAACATCCAGCCTGATGAAGCAAGTTTTGATTTAGGGTGGAATGAGATTGGAGTCTGTGATTACATCAAATCAGAAGCTACAGTTCCTCAGTTTTGAAAGAAACCCTCCTCCTCCTCCTCCTCCATGAACATTATACACCATTAATCAAGAGATTTCCTCCATCGTTGATTCAGTGACTACATTTACATGAAAAGCAAATTTCCCTGCAATCACGCCAGCCGCACTTTGAAAATGTATGCACGTCTTTTCGGGGACTTAGCCGGGTAAAGAAAAACGACTCATGACTGAGTCATAATGAAACATTTTCTCAAGAATTCAATAGTAAAATCTTCTGAAACATACAGAAAGTGGGTGTCACCATGAACAAGGGTGAGGTGAAATATCTGTGTGGGGCTCTAATAGAAAAAGCTTGATCTGCCTTCGTCACAATACTCCACGTGTCTTAATGTTAATCTTGATTATTGCTTATTCAGTATGACCTTATTTGGATTAAGGTAATCAGACAATACTGTGTACATGGCAGTGTCTTATTCAGACTATTGTTTTAATCTGGTTAATATTAGAATATCGGTGTCCATGTGTCATTGAACTCCTTCCCTGATTCACACAGAAGTAAAACATTATCCTCTCTGGTCCTGGCGTAAGTTGAGATCTGATCATCTACTGAAAAACATCGTTCATTGATTTTTATATTTGTGTTTTAGGGTCTCCATGGCGATACAGTGTTCAGCCTCTCATCTCATTTCTGCAGCAACGGTTCATCCTCAGCAGATTCTAATGTATCCTCTGCATCTGCTGCCCTCATCGCTAGAGAGGTAAGAGTCAACTGTAGGCACATGATGGCAGCCGACATGTGACTCACAGTGTGCACATTAGGTCTTGTGTGTGTTTTTGCCTGTGTTTGTTTATTTTGTTTGAAATGCAAATTAGGAGCTTCCCCACTTTAACCGCTTCTATTTAGCTTGAGGCAGCAAATCTTTTGCTCCACCCTAATTTCATTGAAGCATTCACCCAAATATATATGAGCGAACTTGGACTGGTAATGCAGTACATGATATATGATTTTTGCTCACTATCATCTTAAGGTCATGAATTGTTATATTGTTGTGGTAAACGGATCGAAGCCTCCAGCTCATCAAGCACAGCCCTCATTTCAAGCTCTAATGTGACGACAAACAAAGAGGAGAGGGGAGGTGCAATCCTGTAGAAAGAGGAAGTGGTCAGTCCTGTCATCAGCTAGTATCTATTTCAATGTCAGAGCTATTCTTATCATGGCTTCCATTCTGAAGCAGCTGGTGGCAGTGAAGGGGAGAAACACCAACTCCACCAAGGACCGAGGATCGTCCACACCAGAGCTGGAATCAGGCTCCGGTCCTAAAGAGACGCCACAGGGAGAGACGGACGGAGACTGCTTGGATCCACTCCCTGCTCCACCACTCTCCCCCTCCCCAGAGGCAGAATATGACAAACTGCTGGTAAGAAATAAAGTGTATATACATTCAATAAGTACTGTATTGAAGTACAGTTGTGTACTCTCTTTCCATTTCCATTTTTTATATTTCTATTCCATTACATTTCATTGGGAAATATTGTGCTTTTTAGTTTTAGCTACTAGTTGCTTTTCAGATTAAAACACAAAAACACCCAAAAAATTATTTTGTTTAATTTTAATCAACATTCAAACCGGTCAAGTGAATCCATTATTTCACAGTAAAATCAAAGATTAGAGAAATATTTGTTTGTGTAGCTTGTCTTCCCGTCAGATTGATGTTGTGGCTCTGTTGAGGGCCCTGGACCTGAGGTTAGGAACTGCTAAACTATATAAATGATATGGTCAAAACTAGCTCCACCAATAAAATCCTGCCTACACATTGAAGTATTGGTTTTAATAACCTAATGATGAAATATGTAATAATACATCAATCAGTGAGACCATTTTACAGCACAATAAAAACATTTGACTTAAGAGGGATTTTTCACTCAGGACTTTGTGATGGAGTATTTTGGAACTGTGGTATTGATACTTTTACTTAAGTTAAGGATCATCCAAACGTTCCTGCTTTACTGCTCCACCTGTTTCTGTAACAAACCAGAGAGAACTAACACATATAATCCACACTGCTGCTGCCAAAATGAAAGGTCTCAAACCCTCTGAGCTTCTAAGGCCATTACTCACATCACAACGTCAACAGCACGCTCAGGCAAAATCCTGGTACCTGCATCCACGTGATCCTGCTGTTAACCCAGCTCTTTACTTACAGTCAGTGTTTCATGATAATATCCTTGTTGTTACAGTTGTTTTTGTCTAATGATGAGTACTGTGATGCTGTTGTTTTTGCCATAGGATTTGGTGTTTAGGGTTGAATGTGACTATTCATTTCTGTGAAACTGAATTTCCCCCATCTGTGATGACTGACTACTCTCTTATTAAGGTTCAATAATATATTGACCTCTTACTGTAACAGATCCAATTATAACCAATGAGTGTTCTCCAAACTATGTAACTGGATAGAAAGCTAAGTAAGGCAGGAATACTAGCAGCTGTATTTACCTTAGTTACATAAAATGACATGAGAATAACAATTTGACGCTTCAGTTCAAAAACATTATTCTTTTTAAGTGAAAATAAAGGTGAAATTCTGTAAGTTCTCTTTAATAAAACAATTTTGAATATGAAACAATATGAATCAGGCACCACTAAAGAATAAAAGATTAATTAACCGTGTAATTAAACTGATTTGATCACAGTAGTGGCTGTTCATCTTCTTAGCATCACTGCATCATAGCATTCCAATTACTCTCTGCTGCGGTGAGAAAGAATCACAGGAGAAATTTTAATAATGGGTTAGATGAACAGAGCATTACCATAGAAACATGCAACAAAACAAGACTTAGTGATCCAAACATTGCAACACTAACCTCAGACGGAGCGTCGTCACTCTGAACATCATTCTGTGCTCTGTGGAGGTAGAAATTATTTCTGTGCTGATGTAGAGGGTGAATAAGCAGAAAACACTAGAGGGGAAAAAAGGGATTGTTTTGTGTAGCAAGTTAATTTAATTGAGATATCCCTTAAATAAATGTCAAGCCAAATCATCGTGATCGCCCCCTGTTGGCTGGCTGCAGGAAAGGTCATAAACCCCTGATTGGGGCTGGAGGAGGTTGATTTTGATTTCATTTTTGCATGACGACAGGAGATAAAGAGAAGAGTCTATAGTTAACTATTGTCCAAAAAACGCTTCGCTTTAAAATCACTACAAATAAATAAATATGCACGTAATTGATTATCAGTGTTGCTCACTTATTGTTTTGTTGCTAATTTAAACATAATGTCTATTTATTTGTTGACACTGACAGGATGTGGAGGCGGTACCGCTGCCTGATGGACAGCTCTGCCTATTGGCTCTCCCGCCAGAGTGCTGTCAGGGGGAGGGACCAGGGGCCACGCCCTACCTAAAACTTTTCTGCCGCTACATCACTGACCGCAAGGTGGGTGGTAAAAACTTTTGTCGTAACAACAAATGAAAAGACGTTTGTCAGCGAACACATTTTCTGTCTCTGTCAGGGTGTCGTTTCTGGGATCCTGCTGGTGACTTCTAATAAGATCTTCTTTGACCCGTGTAAGACTCTCCCTCTGGTGAAGGAGCACGGCTGTGAGGAGTACCTCCTGTCGTGTTCTATCGACAATCTGGCATCAGTCTCCTTTTTCTCCGACATCTCACACGTTCACTTCAACACCTCCCAGCAGAGGTCAGCAACGGTCCACTGCTCATAAACAACACACACACACACACACACACACACACACACACACATACACACATACACATATTTGTACTTCTTAGTGAGGACACTCATAAGCATAATGCATGAGTGCCCCTTACCCTAACTTTAAAAAAACGAAATGCCTCGCTCTAACCAAACCTAATTCTAACCTTCATGCTAAAACCAATTCTTAACCCTCAAGCAGCCCATAGAAGAAGTGAGGACCAGCCAAAATGTCCTCACTTAACAAAAGTGTCCTGACTCTGTAGGGTCTATGCTTAAAATGGTCCTCACAAAGGTATAAGTACAGTAACAAACACACACACACTCAGGTTACATGAAAAGTCAATACCAATGTTTTTATTATTCTCTTTTTAAGGAGAAAAGGAAAGACATTTTTCCAGAAATTGAAATCAACCAATAGCCAAGCAGGCAGCGTCCCAAACCACAAGGGGGAGTCGGTTCCAGCACTGGTCTCTGCCGTCTCCTCAGACTTGTCCAGTCTGGCTCTGAGCCTGACCAAAGAGGTTTCTGGAGATGAGGAGTCAGAGAGCAGAGACATGGCAGAGGAGCTTGAGAGCTGCCCGCTGGAGCTGCTGTCTGAGGCGGCGGTCGGTGGCCTGGGAGAGGCTGTCCTGAGCAGCGCCACCTCCTTCTGCTGTGGAGGTCAAGAGGTGGCGAGTACAAACCTGCTGCAGGCTGATGACACGGAGAAGAGTCAGAACACAGGTACGAACAGGATTTATGATCTGCGTGTATTATTTCTATTAATTCCCAACAGCCTAAGTCCACCTTTGTTTTTATTTTCCAGGGCCTCATAGGTCATCAGCAGTTAGTGCTGGCAGTCTGATGTTTGTGCGCCTGCGGGTTCAGACATCTGCGGGAAAGAAACGTGATGTAGGAGATCTTCCCCTGGGGTCAGCAAAAACCTTACCCAGAAGAGACGCCTGGCTCGCCCTGTCACAAGAAAGGTACAGTAATGGAGTGGCTCTGCTGTCCAATCATCAGAGATTATAAACGTTCTGTGCAGCAGAAGCTGAGATTTGTATTTACTTTCAGTCATTTGTGTTGATCAAGCTCTAAAAACACTGGATCCTACGTACATTCCCTATAATACGAATCAGTAGCAGTGTACTTACCACAGGCTGTATATAAAAATGGATGTTGGAAAATGAAATCTGTGTTCTCTCAAACAACCAGCAGAGGGTAAGACCAATGGTTGCAAAAAGAAGTCAGTTTATATGGAGAATGACTCTTGAATACAACACGATGTTCATTTAGTAAATTAAGGTCCCATTGCGAGTGAAACAGACAATAAAGCATCATATGAATTGGGGCATGGAATGATTGCTATAGTGCCATCCAATGGGTGTAGGGGGGCGGGTTGTGTCCTTGAGCTTTCAGTCTGGCTTAAATCCCGGCTTCTCTGAATAAGGTTACTTCTGATCTCAATAAACTAAAATGTTAAACTAAAGGCTTTAAATCGTCTGTTCACAAACCAAAGGGTGATGTATCAGTGGGATGCTATTAGAGTGAGGATACTGGACCTGAGCCCGTTGGGACCCGTCCGGCCAGGTTCAGACATACATTTCGAAATGGTTTTTGGTTTGTCTCAGGTCCGATCATGTTGGCTGGATTACCTACTTCCTTTTTTACAATGCATGTGCCTTTAATCATTGAAAACGCTGGGCTCGGGTTTGGACATAAACATCCATTCATTACTTTATTCACCTGTGAGGCTTAAACTCGTCACTGTTGTATATTAACCCACTCCACCCATTCTTTTCTCAACTTTATAAAAACACTTACATTACTGTGAACAAACAAAGGTGGCTTATGGGAAATGAATGTGTCAACAGTTATTTAGGTAAGACCACAGTGAAAGGCCCCCACACAGTAACTATTTAACAGGGTTGGGAGAGGTAACTAGATGTATTTAGAGTATTGTACCACTTGTACGTTTTATCACAGGATCTAAGTTCTTCAATTTAAAGCAAAATTCTGTACTTATCTCTGCTTTATACATTTATTTTACAACTATCAGCTATAGTTACATTATCAATAATCTTACAAGATAAAAGACTCATTTACTCACTTATTGACAAAAAAACAGCACTTTCTCACCACGATGACTCACTGACGGTGCGTGTTTGTTTTTAAACTTCTCTGAGCAACTGCATTCCTCTCCCCCTCCTGCAGCTCAGACGAGCTGTATGCCTACCTGACACGCTGCCGGCCAGACTTGTGTGTACTTGAGGGAGAGGGGGTTGAGGAGGAGGGGGAAGCAGACCGTGACGAAGAGGAGTTTGTACTAATCGAGGACAAAGAGGAAGAGGAGGAGGTGTTCCAGAGGCACCACGGCTCGGGGGACGACTGGGAGGTAAGTGGGTTCACTTCGGTCTCACGAGAGAGGGGTGGTCTCACCGGAGTTAGATGGTCATTTGTGAATATTCTGGAGGATAACAGATATGTTCGTGTGTGAAAGATGAAAGTCACTAAAGTCTGAAAAACTTGACGTTCTCTTGATGTTCCAGAACAGACTAAATTAACAGGGTTTTTTTTAGATGGTGTTGATGGAGGAGAACGGGGACAAGCCGACCCTGGTCATTGACAGGGAACCTGAAGGACTCAGTAATATTGTGGAGAGCAGCCACATTTTGGAAGCATCACACGTTCGAGAGGTGAGTGACACTTCCCGTGCTGCTTCACAACTTCATCAAGCTATGTCTTTTTATTGTTTTGGTTGAAAGACTCCTCCTAGTGGCCAAAGTTACTTACTGTACATCTAATCTAGCACTAAGTAAATCTCTAATTCATAAACATTTACTCTGCAACGTCTGGTACAACTGGATCCAGAACCAGAGCAGAAGAGGAGGCAGATTGTTGTGTGGATCAAAATGATGTTAATTATTCTTTGGATCATGAAAACACACCTCTACATGTACACACATGTTATCCACTGTATCTGTTCAGCATTTTAATGTCAGGATGTGGCTCTACTTTTATTTTCAATCCATCCTTTACTTTTTCGTTTTTATTTTTGCAGTTATGTAAGGAACTTCCCCCCCGGACAGTGAGCCGCACCTGGCAGCTGGCGTACAGTACGTCCCGTCACGGTTCCAGCCTCAAGTCCCTCTACAGAAAACTCAGTGCCACAGACTCACCTGTGCTTGTTGTCATCAAGGACGCACTTGATGAGGTAAAAAAAACCAACACACATTTCCAGTATCAGTTTCTTCAAAGATGTCTTCATTTTCCCTTCTATCTTCCTGTAAAGCACTTTATAACTCTGTGCTTAAATAAAGTTTCCTTCTCTGCTTTTTACTAATTATAACACCTCTTTTTACCTTTCCTCGTCAGATATTCGGGGCCTTCCTCTCTCATCCTTTGAGGCCCAGCGAGAAGTTCTACGGCACAGGAGAAACGTTTCTCTACATGCTGCACCCTCGCTTCAAGGTAAAACCGTCAACAACTACACTGAAGCATCTTTCTTTGGTTTGGTAAATGACGAGAGGGTGAGGATGTGGAGAGCAGCAGGTTTTGAACTTCACACACCTTCAGTATTTGTGAGACTCCTGTTACTGTGACTCTGCAGTGCTTCAGATGGACGGGAGAAAACTCTTTCTTCATCAAAGGAGACTTGGACTCATTTGCCATTGGTGGTGGAAGGTAATGTCTCTTCCTTTTACTCTCTCACTTGCAATCATCTTATATCTCAATGAGGAATTGAAAAATTAATACGAGAAGAAAGTGATATGATAGAAATAAGAGTCCGTCCCTCGGGATGTCATCAGGGTTGCAAGGAGGGGATTGGTGAGTGGTCAGGTGTTGGTTGAAGGGATCCAGAGAATACTTAAGACCTGAATGAGGTGAGGGGGACACTGGATATGGAGGCTGGAGGTGATCGGGGAGGAGGAGTGGTCGCAGCAAATCACTGAAATGACAGCTGACGGCGAGAGAGAGGAGAACAGATTTTAAATCTGGCTGCAACAGCAGGATTAGCTGATTGAGATCATGGCAAAATCTGATTGGATGAATACAGATAGTCTTCCTGATGGAATTTACGCTGTGTTTGATTTGTATGTTAAGCAGGAGCGTTTCAAGGGACTTTGAGGGCCTCAGGCATCAGGGACTGAAATTAAAAAGCTTTTAGCAGAAAGCTAATGGTATGAGACCTCAATGGGGAGTTTCTGACTATAGTGTCATAATAGTCTCCTGTAGGTAACCGATCATAGAATTAACTTAATCGGCCATTCTCTGGGGCTCCTCTCAGCTCGTGTCCCCAGTCAGTTAGCCTGCTTTGCCAAACTAGTTGCAACGCCTCTGATGTAACGTAAAGATTATTTCAATATTAAGTCCAATCAAGCTGTAAAAGAGAAGTCTCTTTTCTTTCACTACCGCCTCTGTCTCCTCCGCAGTGGTCACTTTGGTCTGTGGGTGGATGAGAACTTGTACCTGGGCCGCAGCAGCCCCTGCTACACCTTCAATAACTGCTGCCTCTCAGAGACGGACGACTTCCGCGTCATGGAGCTGGAGGTGTGGACGTTCAACTAAGCGAGACGCGCGAAGGCGAAGATTTCTCCTCGACTCACCACGTTGCTGCTGATCGGCTTCATCGACGCAGCATTTATCACCGAGCATAAAACACAAGCAGCCGCCCGCTCATTTCAAGGTGACGTCCATTTCAAACACAAAAAAACGAACCACAGACTGCTGGATGTGTCTGTGTGATTGAGTGCTGTGGCTTCTCATGAAGTGGAACTGAACAAGGCTGAGTGGGATCTCATGCTTTCAGGACTGTTTTAATGGTTGACTCATTCCTTTGGGTTCGGAAACCAACCGGAGTTCTGCAGTCGTGAGTCGAGCTTGACTGTTAATGAAACCGGATTAGTTGAATCCTCAATTTTTGAATGGAGCGAGTCAGAAGCTGCACTTTGCTCTTAGTGAGAATCAGTAACTTCATTATCTCGTTGTGAAGGTACACCTGTCATATGCATGTCCCCACATTCATACAGCTGCATTTAGTTAATGCTGAACCTCCGAAACACTTGAGTCCTTTTCAATTTCTAAACTGCATGTGTACAGTTCAACAGCCACATTATAACAATCATTCTCTCAGTCACTGTTCATTTCTCTGGGTTTTCATCATTGACGTCATAAAAAGAATCACTAGAACTGAGAAATATTTTCCGGTTTTATAAACATCTGTACTTACAATCTTATAATCCTCATTAACGACTATTCTGAACTCCTTTCATTTCGACTGATGACTCACACTCTGTTGTGGTGTATTATTACTGCAGATTAATGCAATTTTGTCATTCAGCTCTTTCTGTCACTTCCGTACCGCTACTTTGCTTACATTGTACAGTATTGTAGATTAGTTAATAAAAATCAGCACAATGTCAACAATGATAGAGAGAACACAATTCAATGTGTAAAAAACACTTTTATTTCACCTTGTGAAAAAATGCCACTGGTAGAATAACAGGTTTCAAACAGTCAGATATTTCACGCTGACAGGACCTTGTAGGTCTGTATTTTACTCTTACAACGTTATTCTCATTATCAAAATCCACTGGTACTAATCAGATGAGTTTTTTTAAATTACTGGGTTCTCCTGTTTCACACAAAATTAGACATGCTGTGATAAACAGCTCATTTTGTGTCCATGTTGCCATGTTTTTTTAGGCCTCTGTAGCTGCAACAGCCAGTGGCAGGAGGCATTCTGTTTTCAGGTTGTCTGCCCATCTGTCCCATTCTTGTGAACACCATATCTCAAGAACACATCAAGAACTTTCACTTGGAAACAAGGATGAACTGATAAGAATTTGGTGGCCAAAGGTTAAGGTGACTGTGACCTCACAAGACACATGATAAATCAGGGACATCTCGAGGGAATCTTTTAGGATTTGGCACAAACATTCACTTGGGCTTCGTCTAATGTCAAAGGAGACCTCACCATACACTTGTGAACGTGTAATCTTAAGAATGCCTTGAAAGAATCCTTTCAAGTTTAGCACAAATGTTCACTTAGACTCACTAATTAACAGATTTGAATGGTCACAGTGGAATCACAAAAAATGTTTGGCCACTTGATAATGATATCTGCCTTTAGGGAATTACTTCATATTTTGACCAGTTGTCACTTGGACTGAAAGATTAACAGATTTGATTTCTGTGGTGAAAGGTCACAATGACCTCACGTGAGTCCAGAAAAAAATTATGTTGACTGAATTTCACTTATTGGTGGATTAATTAAACCACAGGGCAGTAATTTGTGTTTCCCCTTAAAATATTAAGTGTTTCCTCTTTGACAAAAGACACAAGCAAACATAGTAGTTTGACTGGAGTGTCATTGAGAGTAACGACAGAACACAGCACCATGTGCCTTTCAGTTAAGGGATCAAACAATTCTGCAAAACAAATGACCATTTGGTTCCACTGAGTTACATAAATATGAAGTAAGTGGACAAATGCCCAAGCAAAAAAGTTCTTTGGTGTGGTTACATCTTCCTCTGAACAGAAAACCTGCCAAATATCTCAACATTTGGTTTCAAACTCAAAGAAAACAACAATCATAATCATCATCAATAAATCACGTGGCGCTACCCTGTTTAATTTTTCCAGCTGTGTTTGTCCCCAGAGACAGCGACGGTTGTTTCCTCCAGCAGCCTCAGCAACAACATCAGGCGTCACCCGGCCCAGAGAGAGCTTTCAGGCAAAGTCTTCACAAACTGCTGAGACACAACTGGAGGCGGCACCGGTGCCATCTGTGGGTAGAATCATCAGCAGGAAAAACTCATTCAGTCGTTAAATATTGCACATGCAGCACCGGGATATAAAGAAGAATGATCAAAAAATACGTTGATGCACTTATGATTTGTCTTTAAGATGACATAAGCACTTGCACTGAAGAATGACTTGGCAGGCCTCTGCCTACATTTTGTATCCACATTCATCAGCTGCTTCAAGCAGAGAGCAGATCTAAATGTGTTTGGTTGTTACTGCTCAGTGCCAGGCCTTTATCTTTCATTAAAATGTATTACATTAACAGTATACACAGTAGCAGTATATGTACTTTTTCTCTCAATGTAAATACTGTATATAAAACCATTTTTAACCAGGAGAGACATTCAAATAAATGGTAACAAACAGGATTGAAGGCATAAAACGTTTCTCAGCTGCCAACACTGATGAGACGGCTTCTCTCTTCTCTACACGACTGAGGGTTTTCCCAAAGGAATGTTTATCATATCCTCCCGTTTAAATTCTCAGCCTCTGTCAGACACATTACTGTGCCAGGTACTCCTTGGCTTTCTCCAGCCCCTCTTTCAGGAAGCTGATATAAGTGGATGTGGACGGGTCCTCGAACCCCGAAGAGAAGCTGAATGTTGCTCCTTCCTCCTCTGGCTTCATGGCCGTCTGGTCCAGGAAGAAGTTGGCGTTGATGTGGTGGACCTAAAGCCAGACACAGAACATGGTGAAAGCTTTCATGAAACTTATTTCACAACATTAGTTGTTTGGCTTATTATTATGAACAAATAAATATATAGAGACGTCCACAGTTACAGTGGGTGTAAGCCAAAGTTAGTAGGCAATTTTAAACTTGTGATGCATCTCAAACAGCCATTAATGTATTTACAGAATCTGATTTTATATCTATAGAATAGTTTTTGTTAGAGATAAGATAAACTATTCCTGCACCAGTTTATAACTTCAGATCTATACACTTGGCGTTCATAGGAAACGATGCATGCATGTACTCCACTGTTACTTCATTGATATCAACCTAACTCTTCATTATCCATGGAGTGTTATCTTCCAACTAATGCAAACCCAACATTTAATATTTATATTTCTTGATATTAACAGGATACATGATATTACAAAAACGCTTACAATGGTTCCATTGGGCAGCGCCACCATCATCTCCACAGGGAAGTTGTACTTCTCCAGATGTAATCGAGCCTTTTCACCCAGCACAGTGTTCTGCTCATCAGCCTGATAAAAGAGGAAACGTCACTGCAGCAACAGTAGCAGCATGAAACCGCTGCACTTAATAAAGGTAAGTCTCTTCTCAGGGCGTTGTTCTCTTGCTCACCTGCATGTTCTCCAGCTCTTTGACCAGAGACCAGCTGCTGACGAAGCTCTGGTTGAGCAGGGCCAGGACGGGCGAACTTTCCAGGACTGTCTCCCGGAGAGTTCGCCCCGAACCTAAATACGTAGGAGAGGAGAGAGAGAGAGATGTTCAATTAAAAATGCTTTATTTCAATGACTTCTTGGCTTTGCTTTTAAAGTGAGACTACTTGACTTTTGCTGAAATTCAGATTAGGAGATGAATCGTGAAGCCAGTGAAGCAGCTCAGTTATGTGAGCTATGCAGCAATATTTGCTCACGTAACATACCACATCATATTAAGATCAAAAAGTAAAACACCTGAATGTATAAAACAGTGTGTTGTTTCTTATGAATTCAACTTTAACTTTGTAAGAGGAAGATTATCTTTTAAAAGAAAGTTACATATCTTGTTTTAAAAGTGTCCTGAAACATATTTTCATTGACTGTTGCTTCTCTTTTGAAGCAAAATTAAATCTTTCTTGCAGAAATATCCAATATTTAAGTTAAGTTGTTTTTATAGAGCTTATTTTCTGATGCTTTTAATGACTACATTTTTTAAGTAACTCTATCAGGCTTCCAGACTGTGCAACACTCTGCATGAGAAACTGAACTTTGGTGGTAAATCTGATGTTATCTCGTTATTCTTTTGCCTTTTTCTTCCATTTATAGCCTTGTACCTCAAATCTTACTCCTCTAGGATCACTAACTTTGTAAAATGCTGTGAAATCAACTACTTGTGAATGATCTGACCTCAGCAGGACTGGTCGTCTAAAGCTCCCCAAAGCAGAATGGAATGCACCAGCTTCCTCTCTGCTTGGGCTCGCTCGAAGGCCTCGGAAAAAGGCAGGTAGGACACCTGGAAAAGAGAATAATGAGAAACAACTGAGTGAGTGCTACACACACTTCATGTCAAACAAAGAGGGGAAATGTGTGATGTGGACACTTACCCTTTTAAAGGGGTAGAGAGTGACCTCCAGACGCCGAGTGGCTTCTTGCTGACTGATCTCTGATGTCCAGAGGATGTCCTCAAAGACAAACTGGATGGGCTCCGAGGCGTCATCCCGTCTGTCTATGACGTTGCCCTCCTCGTCCATGATGATGGAGGGAGTGGAGGGGCCTGTGGACTGCAGCTCTAACTGTAAACACATGACACAACTGTATTCATTGAGAGCATTAATAGTCTTTGAAGGTGACTATTTATATTTATAAATGAATGATGTGCACAACAGGCGTGTGGTAACAAGTGGATATACACCATATACCTGCGTATACCCCGCACTTCACTACTGCCAAGGGCACTCCATCATGTGGCTGCATAGTATAAGGTGGAATATGATCTGCATAAAGTCATAGTGGCCTAAGTGCATCACTGCAGCTGTACCTGTGGCAGGTATCCAATGTCCACCTCCATGTTGCTGCTCTCACTGGCCCCATACAGCCACTCCATGTCCACATTCAGAGACCTGAGACACAACAGGACACGTCACACAGGCTCTACAGGAGCTTACAACAGCACTGGGACACTGAGTCCAGAGGTCTTACCTGTCGTTAGGGACGTAGAGGTGGAAGTGTCGGACATGAGATGCGTCTTTAGAGAGGATGATGTTACCAGTGAACTGGCCCGGGGTGAACCAGAAGGGAAAGTCAGGAACATCGTTGAGCTGGAACTCTGCATGAATCCTGCAGAAGAAAACAGGTCTGGTGAATATTCTCATATTTTCATTTACTGAGAGGCTCAGTCTCTGAATGCTGATTTTAAAGAACAACCAATGGCTGCCTGCCAGACATTAATCTAATAATCTGTGATTTACTGTACATAAGTGAGCACTAATGTAAAGTATAATTTCTAAGTTGATAATCATATAAAAAGCACTACTGGAGTCGCTCCTCACCTGATGACAATGTCATAGTAAAAGTCGTTGCTGGCACGGATGCAGGCGACTGCGCCCTGAGGAGCGAAACGTGATTTAATGAAGGGCCGAGGGTGGAACATACTCAGCAGGGAGTGGATGAGAACCTGCAGCAGGAGAAGAGCAGCTGTCAATATACAACACAGGGTACGACCTCAACATTACCAGATAGGAGTGTTTATTGGGATACCTCTTTCCCTTTTGGTATGGGAGGGTGGTAGCGATTGTTGGGCAGGTATCCAGTAAAGATGTTGAGCTCACTGGGCATCACCCACCACGTGTCTCCCACTTCAGCCTTGTTCTTTGGGGGCAGGAAGACCCTGAACTGGCTGGCGGAGTAAGAAGAAGAAGGCACCGCTGGGCTTTTCCAAGAGCGCAGCCCACTCAGAGAGCTGTGAGAAACCTGAAAGAGACGGTGGCAGAAAACCAGGTATTAAAATTGAATTCTTAAGATATAAAACCAGATCGTATGCGTCCAACAACCAGTGCAGTTTCAGGCTACATACATTTTTTTACAGATTTATGATTTATGATGACTCGTATAACCAAATCAAATCAGTTAATCAGTGAGTCTAAGTGAACATTTGTGCCAAATCTGGAAGGACTGTCTCAAGTTATTCTTAAGATAACATGTTCACAAGGCAAAAGGGGGTTTTGTGAGGTCGGAGTGACCGTTGAGTTTTGTCCACCAAATTCTAATCCGTTTATCTTTGAGTCCAAGTGAACCTTTGTACCGAATTTAAAGAGATAAGAAGAAACAATTTATCATGCCATAATTTATTCAGACACAGATCTGTGCTTTTCAAATCACTGCTATTTCATTATTGATTCATTTCTTGGTGGTTTGCAAATTTTGAATGAACTGTGTTCACAGAGAGCTTAATTTAAAATGGAAATTTACTGCAATATTTATGAAAAATAACTGAATTTCTTCTAATAATCTCAACTATCTTGGGGTGGTGCCTCTTTACTGACGTCCGAGCAACCTCTTCGAAATCACTGAATATGTTTCTGTATTACCAAACTTGGTGCAGCTTCTTCTGTGATTTTATTTTTGAGGCTAATCCGTGACTTTCATCAAAGCAGTTCTATATATAGTCTGTAAAGTAGAAGAGAGGAAGAAAAAAATAAAGCTCCTGTGTGAAAAAAGCCGAGAGAACTTGGTCTAATCTCACCCCGAGAAAACCATCTTTGCTTTTCGTCATAGAGTCGAGCAGCAGAGGCTGCATTTTGGCCTCCAACGTCAAAGTCTCTCCGCTGGGATCATGGATCACTTCCTCCTCAAAATCCACAGGGGCTGTGATCCCTGTGTTTGAGAGTAGGAATAGATGTGTAGATAAAAGGTACATGATCAGTGATACTGAGGTTTTGTTAGTGAGTAAGGAGAATGTGAGATGGGAGATAATATGATGTACCTGTGAGTTTCTCAGCAATAGGTTTAAACTCCTCAGGGCTGAGATAGAGGTCGTGGTCGGTGTCCAGCGAAGCGAAGAGAAACAGCCCCTCGGCACCTAGAACTCGAACACTCTCCTCCTATCAGAGAGACACAAAAGCATTGGACAGATCATTATTGTCGTTGCACACGCTTCAGAGATTTTCAATGCAGCACCGAAATTGGGCCAGCGAGCAATCGTATCACATAAAACAGAAAGATTCAGGGATGAAGACAAACTGACAAGAGATGGATGACATAAAACACAGCTGCAAAAAGTCAGAAAAGTTGGCTAATTGAAAGAAAGTGGGAGCCGTAGATACTGGCTTAGTCATGCTGTTTTTAGTCAAATCTTTAGTTTCAACACTACTGACAGGACAGGGGCACTTCAGGGGCCAGTCAGATTTCAGCTTGCTTCGCCTCTGCATCCGCCCCTGATTTATGAGGATTTTTTTTTTGCTAATCAGAATGGAAACACTAAATCTTTTTGAGCTATAAGTTGAGTGGAAGGTCTGGCCAATCCATCTGGCCCTGCAGAGTTTCAGACACTGCCTCTGTGAGACTTTTTCAATTTATGTAGGTGGTTCAATACTTTAGTCCTTTTTTTCAGAAGATCTGATTCCTCTTCTATTCCAAGGTGTTATATTCAGTGCCAGTGTCATAGTGCTGTTGATGATGAGAAGGTAAATACTACACTATGTCGTTGTTTGAACAGATGTTTCTTGTAATCCTCTCAAAACCCAAGAGATGCAAACACACAAAATACAGAACAGAACAGGAGCAAAAGACCCTGCTGCAGATGTGCGCGCCACTTTTGAGTCAGGACTTGTAGTGTTTAGTCTGAGCGTCCGTTCGACCTCAGCAGTCCTGTCCGGATAGAGATCAGCCCAGAGGCCACAGATTCCTGGCATGTGTTTTAGAGTCAGACCTCCCTCTCTCTGACGGACAGATGCGTGCCTACAAGCGTATGCACAATGGAGGGAGAGAGAGGGGGAAGGAACAATTTGGAGACCCTCTGTAGGCAAACAAGCGTGGGTTTACAGAGTTTTAACAGCTGGGACACAGAGCCACAGCCCTCTCATAAAACACTATGAGGTGGAAAGTCTGCACATGGGCTGTTTTAAGGCAACTGGTGTCTGGCAAATAATAAATCTGAAGGCAAGCTTAAGTGAAATGTAACAAATAAATATTACATTAAGGCAAATGCAAACTTTATAGTAATACAAGTAGGGATTGATTTGGACAGGCGAAAAATTATGTCAATAAACCATCAGTTGCAATACCCTAACCCTTAGGATGGCTCAATATATATAAATAATGAAGGTATAACATGGAACTGATCTTCCTCAGATTTGTAAAATGTTTGAAAGAGTTTTAAAGAGTTTAAAAAAGCACAACTTTCAGTCAGGAGCAGAAATCAGTCTACAAACTTAAAATAAATAATAATGTGACATTTATCGCGATAATTATGGATATGGAAAAATCTTGATATAATTATGGCCACATAGTCAAAACCCTATAATTGATAGTACTCTGGCACATATCTGACAGTAGACTAGCAGATATTTTCTGACTTAACGTGCCTTCATACGTGTTGATGTCTCTTACAAGGTGAAACAATGAAAGCCCAGATGTTATGAGACGTGTAGAAGAAGTGTTTCAGATGATCTCTCACATGACGTCTGACGAGCTGAGCGTCCTGATAGCACTTGATCCCCAAAGCGAGCAGAGGAACAGCACCGACCACAAGCAGCGTCCACATCACCCGGGGCACCCACGATCCTGAGCCCGCACTCCGGCGCCTGTTCTGCGGCGGACCGTCTCCCTCATCCTCGGGGGTTCTGTTATCCACGTCCGCCGCCATCCTTCCACCCCGCACCGAGGCTATTTAGAGGAGGAGGGCATGGTCGTCGGGCTGTAAAGCGACGGTAACGCCTCAGTCTAAAACTTTCTCCTTAAAAAAAAAAAGTGTGTGGAAATCTACCGACAGCTCTTGGGTCCTGTAGCCGGCGACCGCGCGTCCTTTTCCGGCCGTTACACGCTCAGCAGGCGTCTCGCTCCCACATCCAGCCACAGACATATGGATGTGGAGAAAATGCGTCAGGTTAGCAAGTGATAGCCACGTGAAAACCGGATATCAGCCTTTAGCTAGCTCAAAATAAAACCACTGTATCATCAAACAGCGCTCCAAGTTAAATGCTAACAGGAAGTGTACAAAAATAATATCTTCTAAACAGTTTGTCGCTATTTCATGTGTTGTTTTTTATCTTACAGTGATTAAATCATTATTATCTGTAATCTTTCCGGATAAACAGAGGAAATAGAAACTGCTTCCTCTTTGGTTTCCCCTGTGCGCATAGTTGTTTTCATCTTTCGTCTTGGGATTTATTTTTGAAAGGGATGACCGGATGTCTCTGGTTGACATTCTGTAAAGCTTGACAGGAGTGGTCATTTAAAGGGGCAGGGTCTCATTGTTCGTCACAGGAATGTAACAAGCCTCAATTACACGTTTCTCTGCCAGAGGGTCTGTGGTGTCTGTAGCTCTGTGGTCCTACCACAGGAAGTCAAGACAGACTCTGCTGGATTGTAGCATGTCCCCAATGTTAAAACTGTCCTAATGTTAAAATCACAACATAGTTTTATATGTTTCATTAAAATTCACATATCTGTAAATCATCAATCTGTATCTTTGCAAGTCTGATTTCACCGACTGTGAGATGAAGACGTGTAAGGCTGGGCGGACATGAGTTGCATATATTTCCTAAACACAATAATCTGTCTTTTTCAGTTGTTTAACACGACTGATTGTTCAAGGCCCGTTTAAGTAAAAAATGTCCTTGTGGCAGATATCGGACACACAGACACACCTTCAATTCAAATGAATGATAGTGAAAACTAGAATGGTCCTCCGTAGACTGCATACCAACACTAAGGCCACACAGTCCCCTGATAAAACCACATTTAAATTCACCAGATCTAGATTATTTGCATCTGCACAAAGTACACACACTCATAAATCTCAGTCCCCTAAACTTGCCTGATTTTTAAAGTCACGATCCGTTAATTATTCCCTGAATATTTTAAATGTAACAATGTTAAAGGTGAAAGAAAAATCTTGGATTCAAACCCTGATCTGAATCTGCATAAAAATGTAATGGATTGAGTTTTGTCGTAATATGTCTATTAGTTTTTGCTTAATCTTTCTTACAAACAAACCAACTAACAAACCAACAGACAGGGGTGAAACATAACAAATGACAGTTCAGTTTTTCTAAGGACATGTGTTGTAAAGTGTTAAATAAATAAATGCACATAATTCTTTGTGATGGAAATTTCTTTTATATCTCTGAGCTACATCAGTTTGAGAATCATTGCTCCAACTCCACTGTATAAATGAAAATTGAGTGAATGCACTCTGTTGTATGGTTTATTATCATTTCCCACAGATAGGCCCAGTCTGTATTTACATAGGTGCATGTTGCATTTAAGTACCCAGTGCCCGGTGAGGCCTTCCTGATTCCGGAGATACGCAGACATTTAACAGCCACTTGTATCACAGCTGACTGAAAAACAAGTACGAGTCGTCACAGACAAAAAGCATTTCACAATGCATCTGGAATTTGTGACAGCAGGAACAACAGGAGCATCATTCATTCTGTCAATGCTACTGTTGCTGAGTTCATCAGTCCATGGGTTTAATGTGGGCGGTTCTCAGTTCATGTCCTCCTCCACCGGCTGTGTCTTCACTTCCACTGTTTTTGGAGGGATATATGACCCCATACCTGCCGCTCTATCCGCCTCAGCCTGGGTGTAGGGCTCCTCTCTGAGCTGCTTCAACCTGGATGAAGAGGAGAAACCATTGAAGCCATTATTGTCCTGTATGATGTGGGACCGAACCCGATTAGAACAGGAAATGATCTTGGTTTTAATAACATGCACATAAGAGACACTGCTGTCTTACCTTCTTTTGTGCACTTTAGTTCTGAAGTGCTCTTTCAAAGATCTCATATCCACAAAATATCTCCTGCAAGACATAAAAGTGCAACTGTGTTAAAGTGGGACTGAGCATCATGAACACACAATTTAGCCCCAGTGTTGACAGAAGAGCTGAAACAACTCATTGATTAGTCCACTGGACCTGAAAAGCAAGATTCTTTAAATGGTTCCTAAAAAGGTTTAAAGGTACAGTGTGTAGAATTTTGTGATATCTAGTGTTGAAATGTCATGTTGCAGCTGAACACCCTTCACCTCACCCTCCCCTTCCAAACATGAAAGAGAAACTGTGGAAACCTTAAAATGTCATAAAAACTCAAAAGGTGTTTGGTTTGTCCAGTCTGGACTACTGTAAAAAAAAGATGGCTGCCTCCGTAGAGAGGACCCCATCAATGTAAATATTTAAGCATTTAAATATAAAGGGCTTTTTCTGGGGTAAAGAAAACAACAATTCATACAATTTAGATGAAACATCATGAGGATTATTCTACATCAAATTTCTGCCAATAGATCCCTTTCATCTAAATCTTACACACTGGACCTTTAAAGGTGATTAAATCGAATTAAGATCATTTCTGATGCACAGGTATGTGTCTTTTAAAGTAATTTATTTGGTTAAATCTGCAATATTCACAAAGTAAGAACTCATAAAACTTTCAGTTGCTTACACAGAATTTCATCATTGTTTTTAGAAAGAAAACAAAAGGAATATTGCCTATATTCCATCTTCTTATATCTTTCTATGTGATTAAGTTGTTTAGTACTTTTATACTGATGCTTGTCAGTCGTTCTCTCCACTTCGCTGCTGTAACACGACTGATTCCTCTGCTGTGTGTATGGACATGGGCTGAACTTACGCGCAGTGCAGACAGTAGTGTTGCGCACACCCTGTCACATCGAAGTCCACCTCCTGCTTCAGCAGCTGGGCTGCGGTCTCCGGCTTCATGTCCGAGTGGATCTGGTCCAGGTCTTTGGTCCTGCGCTTCGTCTTCCACGTCTTTGCGATGTTCTTCTTCTTGTCGCTCTTGTGGTTTCCCGTCTGTTTGGACTTGCCCATGTTGGATGCTACAATCACGCGGTGTTTACAGAGGAGGATCTGGAGGAGGCAGAGTTTTGCTTTACTGATTCTGTTCAGGAGGAATTATACCAAACATGGAAGATGTTTTTACCTTCCACACGCGTGGCCGAGAGAGATGAATGTACTTCCGGGTCACACAGAGAGTTAGACACACCTGCTCACCGGTAGAGGGCGCTAAATACCAGTGTTTACAAAGAGAGACACATTAACCCATAAATCAGCTTCACTCAGATATTTTTAATTACATACAATTTGAAAGAATCATTCATTAGTTAAGTTAAAATAATAAAACTACATTTTGAAACAATTAAAAGTCAAGCATTAAACATATTAGTCAAAATAATTTGTAAATAAAATCTGTATGAATGCCCATTTTGTCTATCATCTGTCTTTTTGTACAACATACATATACATGTACGTAGCAGGATATATCATTATCATATAATTATATATAATTCAGTAGCATTCTGAAGGCTGACTTAACTATATTCAATTATACTATAAGTTTGTTATGCTGTTTCATTATGTTGTAGATTTATTTTATTTTAACCAAACTAATTGCTTGAACGCATTTATATTATTGCTTAATTATGTATAAAAATAATATATTGTACTTATTTATATAATTACTAACTTTTTTATACTTGCTGGCTTGTACAATACATATACATGTACCTAGTAAGATATATAATTATAATATATATTTAATTAAGTAGCATTCTGAAGGCTTAATTAATTATGTATAATTATATTATAATAATTTATACTGCTGCYTTATTATGTGGTAAATATGTTTTATAGCAACCAAACTAATTTGCTGTGCTTATTTATAGTATTACTAACTTATATTATTACTATATCTACTACTACTATTACTAACTTATCATATGATGTATAATGATAATACAATCATATATAATTCAGAAACTTTTTGAGGGCTGACTCAATCATATATAAGTATATATACCGCTGTTTTGTTGTACAGTATATTTATTGTATAGTTACCAACCTAATTTAGTATGATCATTTATTATACTTTATTATACTTATATTATTGCATACTACTTTATCATTCTTGCTGGCTTGTACATAACATATACATGTATATAGCAGGATATATAATTATTGTATAATTATGGAATGATTGAGTCGTATTTCGTACCAATTTCAGACCAATAATATGATATAATATAGTGTAGTATAATATGACATAATATAATATAGTGTAGTATAGTATAATATAATATAGTGTAGTATAGTATAGTGTGATATAATATAATATAATATAGTGTAGTATAGTATAGTATGATATAATATAATATAATATAATATAATATAATATAATATTACTACAGTCACCTACTCTCCCTCTGTGTTGACGGGTCACTCAGGTGAAGTTCAGCTGACACAGTTAAATATTCCGACGGCACTTGAAGGCAGCATCAGTCTGCACTGCATACGCGCCGTGGCGGAGAGCGAAGATGGCGGCGAGTAACGTCGAGCCAGAGCAGGAATGGAGCGACCGGGCCCTGGACACGGCAGAGGACACCCTGGTCGCAATGGAGACCCTGCTGGCCACACTGAGGGCCTTCGAGGACGTCCTCAGGCAACAAGAGACATCCACAGCGTCCTCCACGGAGTACTGCGACAACTTCTGCCAGGTAATGTGTACATGCAGCATCGCCGCTAGCGTTAGCCCAGCGTTAGCTTCCTCCCCGGGATTGTTTTTCTCGCAGCCTGCGAGCTCATCTGCGACGGCTGCTGGCCCGCTACGTGCCCGGCCAGGACCGGGGTGTGGGTGGTTAACCACGGGGCAGCAGCGCGGTGTGGATTGTGTCCGCACATTGTTGCCGCATGCACGCGATTTCACCTCAATTACATGGAATTCACCACCATTAGACTAATCACGTCGGGTTGGCTGTCATGTTCCCCGTCCACTGCTGCAAGTTGCACAGAATGCTCGCCTTACTTTCATGCACACAGCTCGTTTATCGTGAGATTATTTGTAACAGTAGGAAACAGGAAACGTATCGCAGGTGTTTGCATGCACATGACATGTCCACAGTTTGCAAATTACGCACAGATGCGTGTGTGTGGGGTGGGGCGGCATCGCAGTGTGTTTATCCAAATGTTCCAACCACCTCCGATCCACTGACGAGAACAAGAGTTCTGCTTTAGTCTCACTATGGAATTCACTAAGGGGAAATGTACCGAGTTAAAGCAGCAGTAGCATTTTGTTTTTGCAATCAGAATTATTATTATTTAGTCTCGATGACAGCTGTCAAAGGTTGTGCATCCAAGTTTGTCTCATGTTCAAATGCTCTGGTCGTGGCTTTGATCTGCCATGTTGTAGTTAATCTCTATTCAGTGCAGATGCATTTTCTATTTTAGCATTTTTTGAATACCATATAAAAACACATGCTCCGTTTTAGTTGGAGAAACAAAACGGGGAAAGGTCCATTTGAATTTCCACCTTTCACTTTTATTTCTCTATCTCTGAAGTCATGTAACATCACTGACAGTGGATCGCTCTGTGGGATTTGGTTACCAGCCTAAATGGATTACAGCTGAGAGTAATTCATTAATGAGATTAACCTAATTTACAATTTTGTTTGTTTGCTGTCAAAGCAGAAATTCAGGATTTAAAAAAAAAAAAAAAAATGTTTAAACTATGCTCATATATACACACTGATCTCTGTGATTGTTCCTTTATTTTTACCTCTGACAAGGAAGTCATCTGAGCTGGATTATGCAAAAACTGCCTGACTGATTGCCACAAAACTTGGTAGAAGGATAGGATTGTCAGAGTCAGCTGCTCCAGATATTTTATGGAACTTTTCCTGCCATCCTTGAGTAAGATGTCCAAGTAAACCCATGTAAGAATGAAGCAGGAAAATATCTGGAAATTCACAGTGAGGGAGTGTGTTAACATGCCACAGATGCAAAACTGGAATAAACTAAAATAAATCAAATATCTCAGGATCAAACAGGTGTCATACACATAGAACATTTTGACAAAGTTGTCAACTGGGAAACATGAGAGCTTTTAATTTGAGTTTTTGGTGATGAGGGCCAACACGATGTCCTGCCATCACGCTCTACCCACACGACACCCCTCGTCTGAATGTTTCGGATATTTTCCTGTTTTAGTGAGCACGTCTGACCCAGAGAATCAGAACTGTATGTCTGAAAACGTCTACAGTGGGAAGGTTACCAACATGAGGTAGTTTTGTACTGAAAACTCGCTAACTTTAGTAACTAAGATACCAACTTCATTTGTGAATGTTTCAAACGGAATGAGCACTTGTGATTTTGTCCCTTATCTAATGCGGCCATTTTGGAGAATACAAGCGATGACAGAATCCAGTAATTACTTTATTGCACGGATGAGCATTCAACTGCTCTTGCTGAATGTAAACAAACACTTCCTTTAATTTCTACTCTGGGTAAATAATGTTTTTGGGAAGTTGATATGAAAAAAAAATTGACTATTTTGTGGTGATGTGGACTTTCTGTTCCAATCGGAAGTAGTCCAGATGTAATTAGTGCACTGATAGGAGTCTCCAGGGTTAAGAGTTTAATCTTGGCTCCCTCTGAGAGTGTACCTTATTTTTAGGGCTGAGGGGAATTAATTTAGTGCCTCTGTAGACACAAGCACAAAACAGCAAGGTTCCTTCTGTCTGACAAATGGGACTCCTGGGATGTTGATAGTACTAACCCGTGATTAAATGTGTATGCCCCCCAGCAACATGCAGGTGACACTAACATGTTGACTCCTCTGTAGCAGGGAATAGACAGTATTACATTGAAATAACATTTTGAAGATCAAACACTGTTCTCTTTAATTTCTTGCATGAGGAAAAAAAAGGTCATAGTCTTTCAATTCGGTTTAAATGAGAGAAAAGAGCTAGGTTGCCTTCGTGAGATCCTATATAGGAGACAGAGGAGTGTTCACAGGTGCCACTCTGTGCTTTGTGTTCCTCCTGGAGTGTGGCCCCTGGCTCACCATTAAAGGTTGTCAAATGCTGTACAATGAAGTCCCCTCAGGCCCAATCAGGAGTACCTCACACCAGACAGTGTCAACTGGGATCAGTCATGTATAGACTGTTATGTCCCCCAGGTGGAAACCCCCCTGTTCTTCCCCACATATGTTGTCTCTTGTCTGATCTTCTCTGACCAGTTTTAGTTTTTAAAGTCATATCTGTTTTGTTTTTTTCTTCAATGTGAATGTTTTTATCATTTGTATGCATGTTTTTCTATAGGCACTAATTCACTATGCTGGGAGCAGGAACTCTATGGAGCATGGTCTCCCTCTCCTGGAAGTTTACTGTCTGTCCATCAACTGCTTTGCTGCAGCCCGATCCCACCTCACAGCAGAGTCTGACAAAGTGGCCCTTGTTTTGAAGAGACTAGCCTTGTGAGTACTGAACATCTTCTGGTAAATAAACATGAGAGTGAGAGATAAGACACAGTCCCACCATTCATAAACACAATAACATGAGAATCTACATCTGTTGAAGAACAAAAAAAACTATTTTCACTTTTGTTTGCTTCATGCACTTGTTGTTTATCTTATCTGCACCCAACACTTGTGTTGGTCACTTTATGGACTTCAGTTGAAAAGGTCAGCGTCGTCTGTTATTGTGACCTTAACAACGATGTATGCAGCAACTCTTTGTCAGCCATTGCGGGATGTCTCTGATTCCCTGACCTTTCAGCAGAGGCTCTTTCACAATAAAATATTGAAAGACAAACATTGTTTCTATGATCTTTATTTGTTTTTGAATTTAAAATATGCCAGGCACTTGGAAGGTTACCCAGTTTTTTTAAATTGACTGTGTCTGCAGTTGTTTGGTTGTTGTGCAAAAAACTGCAGAAACAATCTCCATTTTGTGGAGGGGGGAGGATTGCTGAAAGAGGAACTCATTGCATTTTGATGCAGATTTGAAAAAAAAAAACGTTATCACTTCGTTTAACATGGCGAGATAGGCTGTTAGCCTTGACGGAGGAATGCAGCCTCCAAAAGCCCTTCTAGTGTATTTATCACCTTTTGAAATATGCTTGTGCACAATAGTCCATTATAATAATACATTATCTAAGTGAACCACCTATAAAATGGTGTATAAATATTAGAGAATCCTGTTTAATAACTTCTGCTTGCTAAAATAGAAAAT